GGTGGTGTTGGTGGTGGTGGTGTTGGTGGTGGTGTTGCTGTTGTTGTTGTTGGTGGTGGTGGTGGGGGTGGTGGTGGTGGTGGAGGTGGTGGTGGAGGTAGTGGTGGTGGTGGTGGTGGTGGTGGTGGCGGTGGCGGTGGCGGTAGCGCTGGCGGTGGTGGTGGTCGTGCTGGTCGTGCTGCTGCTGCTGGCGGTCTTGTTGTTGTTGGTGGTGGTAGAAGGTGGTGGTGGTGGTGGTGGTGGTGGTATTGCATGGTGCATGATGGTGGTGTTGTTGTTATTACCTCCGCCAGGGGCTTGGCGGAGGTTATGTTTGCACCGGCGTGTCTTTGAGTGTTGATTTGTGTGTTTGTGTGTTACCATGCACGTTTCAGTTCACTTCCGCTAGGTGCGCTGGCTGTAGACTTACAAACACGCAACCACAGGCTAAGGGGCAATCACAGTCCTCCCCCACCTGCACGCTCGCACTAATCCGGATCCAATTAATTAATTATTTAATTAATTTTTTCCACTTAATTAATTAATTAATTAATAAAAAAATTTACATTGAGAAAATTCAGCTGCCTTGGCGGAGGTCTGTGCTCTCCGAGTGCTCTAGTTGTTGTTGTTGTTGTTGTTGGTGGTGGTGGTGGTGCTGCTGCTGCTGCTAGTGGTGTTGGTGGTGTTAGTGATGTAGAATGTAGATGGTGTGTTGGTGATATTCACAGTGTGCATGCACGCACCGCTTTGATGATACGGTGCGTTTGTGTTACAGTGATAGTGGTGCGGAATGTGGGTGACGTGTTGGCGGCATAGGGTAGTGGCGGTGTTTTGATGGTGCGGGGTGTGATCGAGTGCATGGTGTGTACGTCGTGCGAAAATCAGGGTCGTGTTTTAGGCTGCAGGGTTGGAGTAACAATTGGATGCGGAGCAACAACCAAATACCACAATGAAGTAATTCAATAGATGTTCTCTACCACACGCTTATGAATGTAATTTATAACACAGCGCCTTTATAAAATACACGTAAGCATAAAATCAGTTAACAAACGTCACTCTTTGGGCTATTTCAGTTCGATCGTCAATGAGAAACCGGAATTGAATTCTAGGCTCTAAAAAGTTGAATTCTAGGCTCTAAAAAATTGAATTCTAGGCTCTAAAGGAATTGAATTCTAGGCTCTAGAAAGAACCATAGAAAGAACCATAGAAAGCTTAGAACCAGCTTAGAACCAGCTTAGAACCATAGAAAGCGGTGCATGGTTGCTATAGGTACTCACAATTCATCTTCGTGTAAGGTGGTGCGTCCTGTGCAAAAGCGAGCCAGAAGCTGGTCAAACATAGTGTCAGACGGAACAGCTGAATCATCGCAACAGGGAGAGATCCTGCGAAGGATCGAAAGTCCTATAATTGATGATGAACAAAGATCGAAGATCGACACGCGACACACCCGATACGCCGATACAGCCGGTAGCTTTTGCAGCGAGGACCCGTCTAGTACGTATACAGTCGTTATATATATAAAGATTCTCTCTGGCCGCCTATCAAGTGCAAACACAGCTGAGCAACGACGTTTTACCCGTGGAACAATCCAAGGCCGCAGTCTCGTGCGTTTAATAGGACATGACGGACTTCACCTATCGCTATGCGTTGTGCTGTGTTACGGAATAAAGTATTAATTGTAATATTAACCAAATATACCGATTGATATTCACTTGGCTATACGTAATTATAATATAATGTCCACACGATGAAAGCGCAAGTCTTTCAGGAACATATGTTATTATGTGGGCACAGATAATTATAATGCGCGTTAGTCACAGCGAAGGTGCTACTGCATACAGAACTTAGAGCAAATCCCTAATTATTATACACCCGCATATAAAAGTTACCATATATCTTTTATTCGCGTTTTAAATGATTGAATCTCTGTTGATTCTGACTCTGTTCCGGCGTATTTTGGGACAAAAAGACACAGCAAGCGGGACATATACGAAAAGAATCATTTCTCGAATAAAAGTGAAACAACATCATGCATATAGGTTTCAACTATGGGTTAGCAATAGGGATAGCGTAAGGCTTGGTGTTACGCGACTGCGTCTATGAAATTTATTTTGATGTCCGTTGTACGCCCGTTTCTATAAACATGTTAACATGTAATTATATTTATAATTACGTAAATGAGTCGCTACAATGAGGTTTTCTGTGTGGATCCTATGACAGTCTGTGTAATTTATACCCGACCTTTTAGACGCTCAATCGATATTATCCGTGTAGTAGCGTGGTTCTAGTAACGGTAACTTACCGGTTAACTTACCGGTAACTTAACGGTAATCTTACCGATCCACGACTCACTATAATCCCCTAGCTGCGGCTTTTGCCTATTGTGCTACGTGACGCTCATAATACAGTCACGCAATCACGATACATCTATCCAACATGTTCCGCTTGCATCTATGACAAATACGACATACGCATATACGCTCTCCTATGACAAATATTGTCATAGGAGAGCGTATATGCGTAT